TGAGAGAAATCTCTGTTCTCATCCTCAGGGCTCAGATTTCTTACGCAGCAGCCTTGAGCATGAGAGCAGGGGTTGTTTTCGAAACGGCAGAAAATATGGTTTATTCACCATTCAGCCACCTGACGCGGCTTGTAACCCGAGTCTTTCATCAACAAGAAGACATGTTTTTCAAATTTTAAACTAAATGTCTATGGAAAATAAAGTTGAATTACAAAGAAGTGGAAATGGTGGACAGAATTTGTCAATGGACATTAAGAAGGTAAAACATTTTAATTATATGTCTTGTAACTTTCAGATGGTCCAGTCCTCTTCCTTCGAGGCCTAAAGAAAGAACTAGAATGCTTCAGACACCTGTCACAGATTCTTCACAATACCAAATAGGTATGCAGTCTTCTTTTCCCGCATTTCCTGCACAACACACAATGTATTTGAGGCCTTGACTTGAACCCTGTAGCAGAAATACGAGGCACAAAATGTCCCTCAGCTGAGTCGGAACTTAAGCCCAACTGTATACATCATCATAAGAGTTATAACCGTCTCTTTCTAACAATGCTTCTAATTATATACTTCTGAGTATAGGGGTGATAAAATTTTGTTATTTGGGACACACCGATATATGACCATTCCATATGTATTCCGACATTGATCAGCCCCTTGAAAGCTTCAGATATGACTTTTTTTCCTCTGTCTTTCGACTCTGTTCCCCTCTCTTTCTTTCCAGGATTTATGGCTGTCATTTGAACCTTTTTGAGATCCTCCAACCATTCACAAACAAACACCAAGGGTATGAAGGCTAGCCTTGAAATCTTATAGGTCGCGCATTTATACTTACGAATGGCCAGCACAGCTACATGAAATACACACACTGTTGCCACATCATCAGAAGGAGGATTCCTTTCACAGCAGACCAGTCCAAAGTTCATAAAGCAGTCGTTATTCATTCCATACTTATGGGCTGTAGAAATTAGACTTACAGCCTTGCGCAGGCAGGGAAATTTAAATGCCCGCGTATATACACGTGGAACTACGGCAGTGGGTTAAGAAGGTAAAAGTAAAGTAAAGTTTGTCCCGCTATACGCCATATAGGCGTTTGGGGTGAGTGGAGGTATAGCTCCTCTCTTCCTTGACCCCGGCACTAGATGGGGGTGAGTGGTCAGCATCACGCCCCGGCCGGCTTTACCCCCGGGAAAG